GCAGAAAGAAGCATCACAAGGCATCTTGCTAGTGCACAAGCCTGGCAGGGAAAGCCACCCAGCAGTCCACGAGTGGACGGCTGGGCCTTCAGGTCGAACCGGCGGACGTCCCAGTGCAGCGGCGCTGCCTCGGCAAGGCCATCCCGGCACCGTGCCTGGATCACTGAGTTGCAGAACTTGTCGGACTCCACATAACCTGTGGGGCGAAGATACCTGGGGGCACACGAGTGCTGGTGATACAGCCCAACATGTTTGAGGCACGGACTCATGAAGCCCGATATCCAACCCCAGCACTCCAGAGAAAAGGCTGATAGCCTTGTGCCTGAAGATGCCCCGATCCTTACAAGGACAAATTGGGTGCAAGAATGTGTGTGGGGGGAGCTTGCATTTGAGCTGGGGGGCTTCAGTGGTCCATGGGCAAATTGTGGCCAAGCTGTCTGTGACAGACCCCACTTCATTTGAACTCCATCCCCGGGGGAGTCCTACAAGGGAAGCAACTCACAACTGGCAGTGACACGAAGGAGAAGACCCAGGCCTGCAAAGTACTCGGCAACCTCTGGGCAGAGGAACCGGCCACGACGAACCTTGTTCTGGCGGCACTCCTTGTAGTCACGCCAATAGTACACCTGTGTGGCCAGATCCTGCCAATGGGAGGGGGTGGGGAATTGAAGGTATGGGAGATGAAGCTCCGCTCCTGGCGACCTCTGAGGGACAAGTATGATGTGTTAGCACACACCGTAGCTGAGAAAGGCCCTCAATGCCAACATGCTATGGGTGTGGCTGACGATACAGGCATGAGGCCCTGACTCACTGTGCCGAACGCATGCAGTGTCACTGGCTTGTCCACCAGCTTGGTGCTTGGCTTGATGCCTTTCTTGATCTTTTCAGGAACCTGAGGCGGAAAAGTCAGGATACCGCCTAACTATGCTGCTCTCCCAAAAGGATTGTTGCATCAAAGGGGCCAAGGTGATGTCAAGCTTGGGACGGGGAGCTTGAGGGCAAAAGGCTGGTGTGTATGACACAACATCCTTGCCAGGCTCTTTGATCCCGAACTTTGGCAGGGCCATTTCTGAGGTTGGCGGCTTCTGCTCTTCCATGTCGCAACTTAGCAGAGCAAGGGCAGTGACACAAAGAAGACATGTTTGGGTTTGAGGGCGCGGCTCACTCAACTCGTCCACTGGTTGGAGGGCCATTGGCGCTGCAACCGAAGCTCTAGGGCCGGGCCAGCTCGGGAAAAAGGAGCAACAGGGGCTGAGAAAGAAACGAGGCTACAGCGACCCCAGAAAAGAGACCCTAGAAAAAAAAACACCACATGAGGCAACCAAGCTCAAAATCCAAACCCCTTGATGTAAGCCAAAACCCTAGATAGCTGGATCTCGAATTATATATATACATGTGCACACATTACTACATATATACACATACATGCATGCATGCATGCATGCATGCATGCATGCATGCATGCATACATACATACATACATACATACATACATACATACATACATACATACATACATACATACATACATACATACATATACATACATACATACATACATACATACATACATACATACATACATACATACATACATACACACACATACATACATACATACATACATACATACATACATACATACATACATACATACATACATACATACATACATACATACATACATACATACATACATATGCACTGTATTTCTCAATCTAGAGCGTCCCCAATACTTACGGTTTTCCATTGCACTACCCTTGCAGGAAACCTGAAACGGGAGCCCTTAACAAAGAGTAAGAGGGGTTGGTTCCTTTTTCGGACGATGTTCTTTGAAAGCCAAAGGGACACCAGCGAGTCTGCGGGCCGGGGTGCATGTTTCTGTTTGCAGTTGTCAGCTGTACACGTGCCCAACTGAACACAGCTGGTTGCAGTTCTTCAGCTTACTTGTTGGTTTAGGCAATGAATAATGTGTTTGTTAAGCATCACATGCACAGCTGTAATGCGGACTAATATGTACGTAGTACGCAGGGTTACAGTTCCCAAAGAAACAGTTTAGATGAAAGTTATTGTGTCTGTGTGTGTTTGTTGTTTAATAAAATGTATGTGTGGTTATTCATGTCCATCTATTGTTTACTACTGTGCCCATGCTGGATTCCTTGCATTTGCACAGCTCGGACCTCAACGTGGCACCTCAACGGCTTAGTGGGCGCCCTAAACATTCCCAGGGGTTGTGGGAAGGTTTTGGCTTCCCAAAAAAAAGGAATGCAAAACTCCGAGCCTCAGAACGAGAGACTGACGGAACGCCAGGCCCTCCAAAGTGCCGCAATCCAAGCGGAGGTGAGTTCCATCTCAGCCTCCAGCCAGACAGTGACTCTGCAAGCATGTGAGCGCAGTTTGAGTTGGTACCCTTTCCAGCTTGCACAGGGAAACCGGAAACCAACAGGAACATCATGATTTTGAGGGGTGTAGTTTTACACCATGGTGAAGCCTTGACGCAAGGCTGTGGAAATCTATTTGCTGTGTGCAGGTGCTTCAGCGTGGACCCCCTGCCTCGCGTTTGAGGGTCACGCCCACCGGCGGGTCCAACGTGTTGACACGACTTGGCGCCCAGAGGCAACAAGTTTACATGCTCAGAAGGTGGCAGAAGCGTTTAATTTTGCGGGTGGTTGGACAGCAGTCCCTATTTTGTGTTTTGTTTTTGCGGGTGGTTGGAAAGCGGTCTACTACTTCCATTTCAACTGCTCATGTCTTGTCCACTATTTTTTTTGCTGCGTTCACCGATTCCAGATAGAAATCTAGCGGCCCTAGGGCTTGATGCGCCCCACTGTTGGTTCCGCATAAAAATGATCACGGCCACACCCCGCCCAATAGAAATAAATGAGCCTGGGGCAGAACTATATTCTGGGTGCTTTCGGGTATTGGGAGTGGATGTGTGTGAGTTTTTTTTTTTTTTGTTTTTTTTTTTTTTTTTCTGGAGTAAATGTGCTCCCCAGGAAAGTTCAAAAACACGTGTTGTTCAAGTGTTTTCACAATATGCTTGTTGTACAAACTGTGAAAAGTGGGAAGCCCACACAGCAGTGTCGTTGACACGTTTGTTTGCAACTCGATGACCCACCCTAGCTGGGGGAAAGCAACAGTTGAGGATGCTTTATATCTAGTTCGTACGCATAGGGGGACGAGGGGGACGGGATAAAGTTGCACAGGTACTTAAGCCGAAGCGGAATCGGTTCTATCTGACCGCTCATATCGGGTGTGAGGCCAGCCCGTTGGGTTGGTTGGTTGACCATGAACGCCCGAAACGCCTGTTGGTTATGTTATCAGGTGGTTCTACAACCATGTGGCCATGGGAAATCCAAATCGTACCCCCCAGTGAACATCCCAATCTGCACTAGAATAGACTAAAATGGGTGGTGAATTCAGCTGCCCCAAAATGGGATCCCATTCCATTAGTTTTGACCCATAGCCATGTTAGTAGAGTCAAAAGTCGATGGGTCTTGGGCGCTCAATTCTATGCTTAGGTCCCAGCGACCGCTCCGCGGTCGATTGCCACCGGAACGGTGCCAGTGGACTCTGAGCACAAGTTACGGACTCAGGTTTCCGGAGAAAGGCATGGGGTGGTACCCTCTTTGGTTCCATGGTCAGGCTTAATTCTTTGGACCATTTTGCCCCTTTTCATACCCCCCACCCCCTTGTTGTACAGGGAGAAAGGTCCGTTTCCATGAATGGGGTTCTTTGTTTGATTCAATTCCGCCTGGGTGAATGCGATACGGTTCTTTAGGTTCGCTTGGAAGAATGTACGCCAGCAGGATTTCTTCTGATTGAACGTATGCCAAGCTTGTCCCGCAAATGCACCCTTCATTGGCCAACGTTTGAGAGAGTACTCAAAGACATATTCTTGCATGGGGCATGAGTGTTGCCAACATCAAGTGTTTCTCATTGAACTTCACAGCCATGTAGAATGCCATTCTACATGGCTATGAAGTTCAATGATAAACACTTCCCAAATGATTCATACATCCCCAGAATTTACGCAGGGTCCGGGACCCACCACTTCAAAAAAGCGACCTCTTGCAAGCTCCACACAATATGTTTGTTGTCTGGACCACAATGAGGCTTCACGCCTGTGACCTTCCATGGGAATGAAACCCAGTCACTGGTTCCACGAGCTGAAACGCTTCCGTTCCGCTGCTATGAGGTCCCAATTGCTACCCAGTCGAGTTGAGAGATTGTGAGACAAGCCGCTCGAAGCTCCACAGTCAGTCCTGCGCATGCGTGACGAAGCAGAACAAGGACAGTACCACAAAGACGCAGTCAACCACGTTGGCAGAAACTTTCGCCGCTAGGTTTCGGGCGCTCACGCCTAAATGCGTGGCATGTATGTCCGGCTCTGGGCAGCGCTTTCTTGCTTGGCGCTGGGGCAGATCTCGCTGCTTAGAGAACCGCCACAACGATTTTGGTCATTTTGAGTCATGCCCTCAAACCGCGATGGCTCTTTGGTTTGACCTTCAACCATTTTAGCTTCTTGGAACTGGGCCGCTTTCTCACTGGCAACAAGTTTCACTATCAGGTCTGGAGCACACCAGAAGGGCCACCTTTTGCTTTTGGTTGTCTCCTGCTTTGCTCCAGGTTCTTGGAGAGCAACTTGACCGTGCTGGAGTCAACAAGTACTCATTTTATCGGCTTGAATCGAAGCGGGTCAAGCGGCAACGTGTCTGCCTATCTCACAGTGCTTAATGGCTCCACTGCCATTCAAGGCGTGCAACTCACGACTCGTGTCTCAACGCCCAAAACGGGTGGTTTCACTTCGGCTCACATCACCGAGGGTCTTAAGAGACGGTTTCCCTTTGAACTCAGCGTTGCAAGTTGGCAAGCCTGACCCATAAAACCCGTGCGCGGCTGCACATACTGTCGGGGTTAGGCTAGAAAACTTGTGTTTTTGATCTTCCCTTCCTGTTCCAGGGATATGTCTACCCTCAATCCGGTTGAATTGCAGCCCCATGCCTGTAGGTGTGCACTTCGACTTTGTACCGAATCCCGTGGTCTTCCGCGATGGCGAAGTGGGCCCCAAGGGAGCGGCGATTTTTGTCTACGACAATGATGTGTGGGAGCCAACGAAGGCGCCTCGGATTTGGCTGATTTCGAGTCTCGGAAGACCTGGCCAGGGGCCAAATGATGCCAGCAGGATTCGGATAAAGGGATTATTCTTTTTGATGGGCAACACCCTCTCAAACGCTTGGTGCACATAAGACTCACTATCATCATTTCTATGGATTATGTGCAGCAAAGGGTCTCTGATTAAAACCAGCTGTCAATGTTGGATATAATGCTGGATTTGAGCAGCGCGGGGATCATGAGCTTATGAAAAGGCGCCATTCACTTCAGCTAAGGTGGTGAGATTTGGTATCATCACTGATCCTCCAGAGGCGGCTGAAGCAAATGCGTCACTGCTTCTGGAGATTCAAGATGACTACGATGGCGGAACAATCGTCCTAGATCCTGCCAGAGCATATATTCCCGAAGCCCTGCCACCCGAGAACGTTTCGAGTTGCGCAATCTTTGCGGAGCGTCAAGGTGCTGCCAGCGGTGTAACCCATCTTTGGGCCGCTTGGACACTTTGCAATGAACAAGACTGGCCAGAAGTGAAATATAATGCTCTAGATTTTTACGACCACGGCACGCTTGGCATGGGATCTCCAGTTCAGTGGGCGGATGGCGAGACGGGGCGCAAATGTTTGGTTGATGCTCTCAGCATGCCAGACATCACAGCTCTTCAAGCCGGCACACCCCCCAGAGACGATAGGCTTTGGGTTTGGATCAACTCTGAAGGGAAGATCGAGCCGGATGAAGGACTATGCCTACGAACTGCGCTGGCTGCGGGCAGCACTGCACATTTGCAGTCAGACAAGGCTTCATTAACTCTGAAAGACACTGGTCACAACGGGGGTGGCAAACTGCTGTGCACCCGAGGCTTTCCTTGCAAACTGGACCTCTCACTCTCCAACGCAGTGCCTGGCAAACAGGCCTTCATCCAGCTGTTGGAGCAGCACGGTGACCAGTGCTTATCTTGCCGGCATGCTTATGCATACAATGAGTCCAACCTGTTGACCTTTCAGGTGACACACGTGAACGACACCACCATGGCCGATTTGGGCTATGGCCTGCTCTTCGTTGAGCCCGGGATCTATTCGCTCTGCACATGTTGGGAGGACCCGTTTTCAAACGGTCAGAATGCCACACGGCAGGAAGCGTCTTTGACGGTGTCAGGGCCATACTCCATGAACACGGCCTATTGTTTCAGAAGCGACAGCGAGTCTTGGCACTTCCCAGCCAGAAGGTTTTGTAGACTTTGAGGTTCTTAGTGAGGGATTCAAGACATCCAATTCGTAAGGGATCAGCTTGAACTGAGGGGTGTACTATACCCTGGGTGGATGCTGTCCAGCCTCAGATCGGCAAAGACCATGTGCGGGTCATGCTGTCATGCTTCGAGCCTGCACGCACACCGGAAGGCTTTCAGCTTGGGGGAGATGGGATTCTCTCTTCAGATGGCTATTCCTACCATCTGAACGCCAGCCTCATGAGGTTGCAAGCTTTAAAGCATTTCACCTTTTCGGTGTTCCTTCATTCTCCATTCAGCCTTTCAACCAACTGAAAACTTTTTGCAGGTCGGATCGTCTGATTAAGGGTGGAGGAGCCTGGGGTCTATCAGATGTGCTGGTGCAGAGAGACGCCCTTGCAGCACTGTGATCAACTGGAGCAGTTTCACGTTCCTGCTGGGGTGTTCACGTATCTCGGCTGCTCTTGAGCATGACCTTTTTTTAACCTTACCTTGTCGAAGCCTTTGGAAGGGGGTCAGTTGGCCCCAACCTTTCTGAAGGTCAGTTGGACCAATGGGTTCGAGGGGTCAGTGAGGTATGGTGGACCCGCGAAGATGAACCCCAGGTCAACTCTTCTCGGGGAACCTTTCATGATGACAGAGGCTAGGCAGCAGATGGCGAGTGCGACATTTTTTGGGGGCCAGAACGTGCGAATGAGGAAGTTCAAGTTTCGGAATTGTGGAATGACGGAAGCGACCTTGAGGTCAACATAGTTGGTCAGGTCCGGAGTAAAATATGCAGAGCGCAAACGTTCGATCCGCGAGTGTCCGTTGCAGATGATGTTGGTGATGCTGGGGATGCCAGTGCATTGCAGGCGATTGCTGCCGGCCAGTGGTGCCAGGGATGGCTTAAGGCTTTGGCTGGGGGACTGTTGAGGTGTTTCTTGGGTGTCTAGGATCTCCTTGGCGTAATTTTCGTCACAGGTAAATCACTGTGGAACCTGACAAGCCTGACAGGGGTCCAAAAGGAACATTGTCTTCAAAACACATCCTAGAACAGCCATACCCCCCCCCTACAAAGCCATTTGCATTACACAAGCCATACCCTGAATAAAACTAAAAGTGTGTTCACTGCATGGAAAATGCACCCACTACAAAAGCAGTTCAAAACTAGTACTGCCCCTTTTAAAGTAGCATTGCCAAACTTGGTGGAATTTGGCCGCAACACAAAACCAACTCCAAAGTAGTATAGCCAGACATCCTGCAACCTGACCGTACTAAACAGTTCTATTAACAATAGTCACTTCGAATACCACTTGAAGACGATTCCCGAAAGCATGTTGCCGCCGTGTTTTGTCAAGTCCCTGATCCTCCCACCGCGATGATAACAAGTTCCCCAGAAAAATGAAAGTTTTCAACATAATGAGTTACGGAATCTGCAGACTTGGCTCTGTGCAAGTGCAATTTTGCAAGTAGACTGCACAGTGTCGCACTGCAAGATGCTGCCCGCTGTGTGCAAGTTGCTTTTTGCAGTTGCCCTGTGCAACTTCTCTTTGCAGGTAGCTCTTTTTGAGTGGCTCTTTTCGAGTGCGCTGTGCGAGGTGCTTTGTGCAAGTTGTTGTTGCGGCATGTTGTGGCACTGTCTGTGCACTTGTGCTTGCGCAAGTCTGCACGTCGATCTTCACGAGTGCTCCGCACATGTTGCTTTATGCAAGTTGCTCTGCGCAATTTCTGTGCGCGAGATATTCTTCGCAAGTTGCTCTTCGTAAGTGCTCCGCGCAAGTTGCTCTCACGCAAGTGCTCTGCGCAATTTGCTCTGTACAAGTCTGCTCGTCGCTCTCCGCGATGCTCCGTGCAAGTTTCTCTGCACAAGTTGCGGTTTTACGCTTGAATGCACTCTGCGTACTGCTTACGTATTCAAATGTTACCATTTTTTTCCAGCCGGAGCTGCGGGCATAGGCTTCGCATACTACTTTTTTGGTACTTCCGCACACCCAGCGGAGATCGAACCCGCGATCCGCGATGACGAGAGCAGTCGCGCAAACCACGAGACAGCTTCCAAGGACCAGCTCGCGCATGGGACCAGAGCGAGAGCGATTCGAGACGCACGAGCCCTGCCTTCAGACGTCAACCGCGCCGATCCCCGCAGAGGTTCGCAATCCCGCACGGCCAACTTGAGGTACCCAAGCTCTTTACTTTACCCAGACCCTTTACGCAGACGGTTCACACCCAGACAAAATCCGCACTAGTCATGCCCAGACTGTCGTGCACAGACCATAACCAGACTGTTTTCAAACTACTCGCCTCTTCACAGACTGCTGGAAATTCCGTCTGGCAAAAACTTGCCAGTTGTTTATTGAGGCAGGAGCTTTCGCCGCAGGAAGGTTTAACGCCGACAGTTTAGTGGAACGCCGGCAGTTCAAAAAATGGCTTGAGGGCCTGGCAGAGCATGTCACAAACTCGACCTGGCCCTTGCTCCAATGTATGCATTGGCACGAAAAGCACTAGCGTGTTTTGCACGATATGAGTTTCTATGCCTTTCTGCTGCTTCGACAGCTGGATATCATGAGTATGGACGCACAGCAACGATTTCACCCATCCGGACAGCAAGGTGCGAGCTTTGGCGCTGTCAGCGCTCCTCATCAACGACCATTGAAACCAGCAGGCAGCATTGATAGAAAGTCTCCATCAAAGCCTCTTGTTGGGCAGCCCCTTCTGAAGCCAGCAATTCTCGAGGCAAAGAGCGCGCTGGAATCGGCACACACGCATCAAATCTGCAAAGCTCAGGCCACCAGACTGGCGTCAGAACCGAGTGCTAGCGTAGCTGCAGGGACAAGCAGGAAACGTGGCATTTGCAGATTGCCCTTGGCTGCAGGGGGAGAGAAGCAAGGGGCAATGGGGCAACGTGCGATCAATGCTTGCTACATTCGCTTACGCACACACACAGAGAATGAGCAAACATTGTCGCAGCAATGACAAAGATTCTGGTGAAAACGGGCACAAACTGCAAGTTGCCCAGGACTGACGCCAGAGTACAAAAAGGCTGATGCCAGAGAGAGTGCAAAGAGGCAATGATGCTAATCAGGGGCTGCAGAATTGCATGTGATATTGTTGAGGGTCCCAACCAAACTTCTCTTCAGTCCTACACAGCGCAAACTTGCAGGAACCAAGAAGTAATTAAATAGAACAGTTCAGGAAATCAGGCAACATTAAATTCAATGTTCAAGCCGCACTCCCTCAGCGCAATCCGATCTCAGACAATTAAGCTGCCCCATAATCACAAAATCACAAATCAATCCCACAAAGGAGATGTTATTGGCTGCCAAAAATGCCAAAGCAGCAGCAGCAGCTGCTGCTGCTGCTGCTGCTACTGGCCACCACGGACCACCACTGATGACCGCCTGCAGGTCAAGGCAGATGGGTTTTGGGCGCACGGGTTTCACATGGATTCAAGCTAAACTCACTGCCAGCAATCTTTTTTCACACATCTCAGGCTCGAAGCACCTGTGTATTAAAATTCAGGTTGGGCCAGAACGCAAGGAATCAGAACGGTCCAAGATCTGATTCATTTCTGACTTGATCAAAGCGGGTCACTTTTTCCTTTTTTTGTTTGATCAAGAGGGCACCTCCTGTGGCTGTTTTTCACCCATCTTGCCCTCCCCCCGAGGCCGCTTCTTGGGCTGAATTTTCTTGCCAACCACTGCTTGCCATGGCCCTGGGTCGGCGACCTCCGCTTCTCCCGTGCTCTTTCTGCCAGAGCTTTCAAAGCATCGCTTTTAGCTTTGGCAAGCCAGGGCCTTGGGCTTCACCAGGATGCCACTGGACTTCAAGTCCTTGTCCACCACCGCACGCTTGGCCTGCACCGGGTTCCGGACAGTCATCAGGCAAGCCATGGGTGACTGTGTTGGATGGCGAGTGATGGCTGATATTGATGGATCGCATAGTATGCAAATTGCTTGCATGTATTTAAAGGTTTGCTGAGGGCCTTTAGAGGGATGTGGAATTTGTTTTCATAAGCTGGTGCCAGTGTGGCAGGGATGAATGTCTTGTATTTTGTGGCTTCCTTCCTACCTTGTCACTGGCCTTCCTTTGCCAGCTGCTGCGCAGGTCTCAGTAGAAGTTTGCGTCCTGAGACTTCTGAGTGGAAATTGTGGAATCATATATTGTTGAGTGGAAATTGCGGAACCATCACAACCCATCAAGCACTTGCCTGATTGTCACAGTGGTGGTAGTGAGATTGTGTAGCTGCTTTGCTCGTCATGGGGCTGAAACCGGCTCTAAGGTCCCCCCCCCCCCGCTCACTTGCTTAAAAGGCAGGAACCGGAAGTGTCATTGCAGCAAGACGAGCGAGATCCTAGACTCGGAGGGAGGTGGAGGTGGAGTGCGCCGCAGGAGGTGGCCTTGCAGCACAGATGATGGCAACGCCGACCAGAGAGTGGTCTACAAATTCCGGCCCCATAGGGATGGCGATCTACCAGAAGATTCAGAAGCAGCAGAAGCAGCCGCACAAAGAGTTAGAAGGAGTTTCAGAAGCAGCAGCAGCAGAAAACGCAGCGGATGGAGGGTGTGGATTCACACGGAATCCAAGCGGCCAGCCACCTGATGCGAGAGGGGTTCACGGTTGCCTTGCAGAGCACTCCAGGCCAAGCAGGGCAACCTGGCAGGCTATCCAAAACAATTGCACACATTGCATGACACGCATTGCACGTTGCTGGTTTTGGAGCTGGCCATTTGCCAGCTCTAGGTCCACAGCGATGAAAACAATTGGGCGGGCAGGCGTCAAGCCGTTCATTGACCACCAAAGAATTAGATACCAATAAGGGCTTGGGAATGAAACACAGAGCATTGAGTTTCAAAACTCAACATTCACCTCACCCCTCCTGAGAAAATTTCGGCAGCAGACTTTAGCATCAGGCTTTGTCACCTTCATTTTCCGAAGCACTTCTGATAGAGTCTCACATGGCTGAGAATCCACCATGACAAGGTCACCAGGCCCAACGTCAAAACGGATTTCGGTAGGAGCTCAACATCCCGCGAACCTATGCGGCAGTTTTTGCTGACCAGGGCCACCAAGAATGGCTTCACAACTTCTTTCTGGAAGAGCTGACAGTCAAATTCCAGGTGGGTGATTTGGTCGCGCCCAGCTGTGCAAGGACAAGGGCTGGGAAAAAAGCAGAGAAAAGAGTACCCAGACAGAAGTTGAAACAAGTTGTGCGCTAGGGCTTTGAACTGCAAGAAAAGGTGTATTTAGCAATCTTACACGCTGGAGCTGAACACATAGAAGCACCTGCACTCAAGCGGTGTGTCTGGGGCAAGGACTCAGTTGACCTCAAAATCCAACATTGTTGATTGTTTCACTAATTGGCCTCCGTGCAACACAGTTGTTGAGTCAGACATTGTTACAAGAATTGTTTCCACAATTGTTTCTACGATTGCTCCAACAATTTGCCCCAGCACATCCCTTTTCCTTTCACTTACCCTTGTAAGGTGGATGGCCAGGCTGTCACATTGAATTGCCGGAAGCCTTGGTGCAAAAGTTTTGGCACAGAGCAGATTTCCAGGCTATCTTTGAGGAGTTCACCAGCAAGCATGCAACCTCCAAAGCCCTCAAAAAGAAAAGGGGTGTCAAGAGTAATCCTGCAGGGCCTCAAGGACCAGTGCCTTTAAAAAACAGAAGCAGACCCCGGCTCCAAATGTCACAACGAAGCGTGCTGAAGAATCGCATGGGACTACTGTGATTGCTGAGTCACCCTTGGTCAACATCAAGCTGCCCCCTTGGGTGAAAGAGCAGGTCATGCTAGTCGTGTCTGACAAGGCCCTACATCCGCAACAGTCATTTTCAAGATTCTATTTGCAATTTAGTCACTCATGTTACAAGTGAGTTGGGTTCAACATATTGAGCTTACTGAAGGTGAAGCTCCTGATGTGTTGGCTGATGAGTTTGGAGTCAGTGGGTTTGCCAATGCGGGCTGTAAACTCTGCACACTGCGTGCACCTGACTAAAACACTGAGTTCCAAAGAGATTATACACATGATTGCTTAGTTCAAACAGTTGGCGTTCGCAAACAAAATGGTAAAATGCAAAGGCTAAAAGGAAACAAATCAAAGCTTACCCGAGTATAGGCCCAGGCTCCTTGCATGTTGCGAAAGTGTCCGCATTGGTACAACATCTTTCCAAAGCTCATACATCTCACGGAATGTGCGACACCCAGCCCGCTCTTCAAATGGCAAGCCCTCGCACCAAAGGATGCATTTTCTGGAAAAACCGCGGCTGCAAGCCACCTAACTGAATGTTTGGCACAAGAAGTAAATACTGGAGACTTACAACACAAACTTTCTTCCCCAAACTAACAAGTTGCATTCAAAACAAAGCCACTCTCCAGATGCCACTCAGTAACTTTTCAAGGCACAGGAAGCAGCAATGTTGCTTACCCCAGCTGCAATCACGGGCAGGACAATGGGCACGGGAACTGGTTTTATGGAGGGTGGTGACCTGTAACAAAATGAAACCCACAAAAAAAACCTAGTAGCCTGGTAGAAATAGGCCAGAGACATGCAGATTCGCCACATAGGGGTCTTCCAGCAGCGCAGGGGTCTCCGCAAGAGATTCAGCCCCAACAGGATTTGCAAGGCAAAACCAGCTGAAAACAAAGACAACAGCAACCACTTATGATTCAATCAATGACCAAAGCATGTGCGTGGCAACTGCCAAGTAGCCAGGTGATGATACACATAGTTCATGCATGTGTCCACACTTCGACTCTTTCTGCCCTGCTGGTTCATGCCATTGCACCGTGTTCATGTCCAGGCCCGCTAATAGACGATGCACCTGCAGGGCCAGGGAATGACAGAGCACATAACACACCCATTGCATGTAACACTGTTGAATTGACACAATGTGTGTTTTGGAATCACCCAAGGAACCCTCTTCTCATTGATGTGGAGCAATGTGCAGAATGCTTGCAGGCGCAGTTTAAAGCCAAGCAGGTTGTAGTTAATGCGGCCAGCAGCGTCCTTGGCTTGATTAGCCCACAGACACCCCCTAAAAAATGAGGGGAAGCCATAGCAGGACCAAGCTTCTTTCTCCATTTTCCAGGCAAGCCCAGGATGTGGCGGTTGACTTCATCTTGAGATTTGCCAGATGTTTTCTCCCGCACTTCAAAGCAGGCCGCAGCAAAGAAGGAAAGGAGTCACAATAACAACAAACAGTGTTTTCTTTGCAAAGCTAAACCTTAATGAGAGTAAACAAACTCTTCAATGTCAGTTCAATGCCAAGCATATTTTGTTGCAATGGGGGCAAACCCCAAGCCCCCGCCATGTTCATCCAAAATGGCTGCGCAATGATAGTCGATCACTCATCATGGCAGCGCCCCATGGTGGCTAAAACATGTTACAACATGTTACTACTCAAAAGCGCCAAACCACCCAACCCAACCCTACAGCGGCCTTTAGCGCTTCACAGTAGCCAGCGCGTGAGGCAACCTAGGCAAGCGCGGTGATGTCAACTCCATGAAAAAACAATCAACAGGACCCACTCAAGAACCTCAATTCCATGTTTTCCCAAAAGAGGACCCACTAAAGAGGACCCACCCAAACAAGAACTAATGCTAACATTTCCGCAAACACACATTAACTATGTAAGCAGTGTATGGGTCACTGTGGCTAATAGACACACAGATGAATTGGAACTACTTCCAGAAGTTCCTCATCACAAAGTGCAACTACCAAAAGCCTCCCAGCGCATCAGGTGAGTGGGCAGGGCATGATGGCCCACAAACAGTGGCAACAGGATGACCATGCAAATTGAATGGCCTTGTGCTGACAGAAGGTTTCCTGACTATGGAGGGAATGCCAACCCGATGACAACCAGAAGTCTCAGCGCAGGCCTACAGCTGCCAGCCTGGCATTGCGCAACTTCTGCTGCCACGTGCCCCTTACCCTTCAATGTTACACATGGGTTGCTTTCCATCGATTCACATTGCGACAACATGCATGTTGCACCTGGGCTTCTCTTCAATTCTAGGACATAATCCCCCTAGGAGCAACGCATTTTCCGGGTTACAATTTTGGGATCCTATATTCAGGATGACAACTGAATTGCACAATGTCTAGTGTCCATCCAAGGCATGTTGCCGGCAAGGAGCCACCTTGGCAGTGGCAGCAGCGTGGCCACCAGCTGCTGCAGCTGCAGCAGCAGCCAGCCAGCTCCACTCAATCCCCCGCCCTTTCCCCAATCTCCCAAAATAAGAGATCCTCATTGCCTCCACACACCCCCTCCCCCCGGAAATCTAACAGCTCTAAAAACTGAGACAACCCCCCAAATCGATTTCCAAGCACCCCTAATTAACAGCAAAAGTGTCGAAGGACGCAAAAGGCGCCTTTTTGAGTCCGAGGAGCTTCCTGCCATGGGATGGTTTTGTGCATGGCGTTCTGTGCAAGTTAGCTCTGCGCAAATAGCTCTATGCAAGTGACTGTGTGCAAGTGGCTCTGCGCAAGTTGCTCTGCGCAGGTTTGTCCAAGGGCTCCGCGCGGAAGAACTCTTGGCGATGCTTTCGGGCAAAATGGGGGAAACTGATTATTTTTTCTTCAGGTGAGTTGAGGGAGGGGGGCCTGTCTATTAGTCAGAGGTGGACACAACCTAAACGGGGTGGGGGGTTCATGAGATATCCGCGCCAGAGCAAGATGTTGATTGTCAACCATGCACCAGTACTCTTATTCCTGCACGCGAACTCAGGACATTCACGGGACCTTGCTTCGAAAAGGCGACAAGGCGATGTTGCTTCCCAGGTGTGGTGAGGCACACGACACGGCACACGTCATCTCGACCTTCAACGAGAACGCCTCAACCTTCGAGTTTCCGGCTCTATCCATGGAGAGCGGCTTCCGGGCAAGGACGTATCATTTGTGCTGGTGCCAGGTCAATGGCAACTGCACTTCCGCGGAACATTTCCGTGCCTTCTTCGGCCAAGTCCGACTAATTTGCCCAGACAAGCAAGCAGATTACAACAACGACGGCACCTTGGTTGCTCTTGATGCGACCGTTTTTGGTTCAACCTTTTCGACTACTGGCTGTTTCCCTACTATCAACAAGTTGATCACTGTAGGGGTCAGTTGGACCAAGGCACATGTTCGCTCTGCCCCTCTATGCTCCAGAGGCCTGGGGGTATGGATGGTATGGAATGCCAGATGCATCTTTCGAGTCTTTTAGTGGCGCTCTCCTGGACCTTGATCACCACTTTGCGACTCGGCCTTGTGACGGTGCCGCCGCCGAATCGGGTATGTCTTTCGGTTGATTTTCCCTGTCTGCTTTGAGCCATGCGTAAACGTGCAGATTGGAATCCCATTCCGGAACTTGCTTGGAAGGTCTCACTGAGGTACTCGCAGGAGTGTTTAGTCAATGAGAACTGAGCGTCGAATCAAGCCTGCCCTGAAACGGACCTTTGCAAATCCAAACATTGACCCCACCAAATACCCCAGGTGCGGGAAACATCTGGGTGTGGGTCAAAATTAAACCACCAGGGGACCGCAGATTTGAGTCCTTGGTTCGGTACCCATTTTTGACCCATAGCCATCTGAAGTTCTGAAGACACACAAACCGAGGTTTGTTTTTGCGTTGTGCGCCAGCGTGTCACTTGGCTTCCGCGGCGGATCGCCTTCTCTGCATGGAAAGCTCCGAAGGACTCATTGCCAGACTTGAGAAGCTTTTTGCATTGCGCTTTGGTGTTTCCTTTGTTCAGGGGTCCCTTTTTTGGTGTGGTTTTCAATGTCACCTTTTTGGCCCGTGAAAGGTGAGTATCCCTCGGGTGGGGATGTTTTAAGGGGAGCCCTGTTTTTTTTGTGTGTGTGTGTGTGTTTTTCTCTCGATTATCAAAGAGTTAACTCATGGGTCTGAGTTTGGCCCAGGATTGAGGACATTTCAAAGGAGAGAGGAAAACTCACCATCACCACGGCTGGCTTGCACAACCTTGCCACCTTCGGAAAATGGCCAATTCCTGTCACTCTTTGGCAAACTGGTCATTACCTTCTGGATTCCAAGCCAAGCAGACGACTCCAGCTCTACGTGCTCATAAGTAGCGACCAGTCCCTTGAGATCGTGGATAAACGCGGGGATCCAGCGTCTTTCAGAGCAGACAGTTCGATGGGTGTTTTACAAATCTCCTTCGCCAGGGCAATGCTGAATTCCTGCCTGCCCAAGACCAAGTTTCCACTCTTGGCGCAGTTGGTGCTGTTGGCGGCTGCCTCCATCTCCCTGGCCATCCTCTTGAACCCCCAATCATGGGAAATGCTACTGGCGCCTCGGCTCGATCGCTATGTCGGGCAACCAGCTCTGCGCCTCTCAAGCGGAAACCTGCGCCAGAACCCCCAGTGGGGCGTGTCTTTCTCAGTACCCGTCGGATGCGCGGCCCGTTTCGGCCGGCTTCGGTGCCATGTTCATACGCTGGGAGGGTGCTGATGAAGCTAGATTGAACCAGTGAAGTACCCATCAGGTTGGGTCAATGGTTCCTATGATTTTAACAGACTCCTTTTGTTCGCCCTTCTTATCCAGGGTTTGCTTGTGAACATGTTTTTGCCTAAGCCTGTCTCCAACCCCATTTGGGGAAAGCGGCCCGGTTCCAGTCCGACATGTGAGGTTCTTGGATCTTCGATTTGCATCTCGGTCCTTCTGATATCGATTTGGAAGCTCACACTTCGAAGCTCCACCAGGACCAGAAGCTCCTGCTCAAGAATTGGTTTCCAATCATGTCATAGCGCCTGGCTTGTCATGTCGCATTCGATGAAAAAAAACAATGTGTCGTGATGCTTGGTTTCCCAAAGTAGGGAACACCTTGGTGCGTCTGGAAGGGATACAGGGCACTTGACTGGAAACAGACATTGACCACAGGGTTTCTCCGAGCCTCTAAGAAATGACGTGATCACAGGCAGAGTACACAATTTGTATTGTCGTGTATTCCTTTTCTAGAGACCAAGTTTCCCCAGGATCCGATGGGAGCAACTCTGTCCCATTTTTTCTTCGCAAAAAGAAAGGTTAGCCGGCCAATTTGTTTGTGTGTTCCGGGTGCCAATCAACAAACCAAAGTGAAAGGTCTGGTTGCGTCAGGATGGACCAGCGCCTGAAGACCTATGCCCGGGTGCTGCAGGAGCGGAACCCGTCGCCGCAAGCATGTCCCAAAGGCCCCGGCAGAGCCATCCTGGTGGCCTGGCATTGATTCGTTCCACTCGGGTCTGGCAATTTTCGGGGGTGGCAGCCGTTTTCATGGCTTATGGCAGCCAAAAGGAAAGCATGGGGGTCCAGCAGTTTTTGGTTGATCTTGCAATATTTAGGGACGCAACCCTGTTTTGAGGTTGGTTTAAGGGGTCGCCAGGAAACCGGACCCTGACACAAGCCCATGCGATCAATCGACAGAACTCAGGTTTGGGATCTGCTGGAATCTTGACTGCAGGGAGAAATCTGGAGGTTTGAAGTGGAGGAACCATTTGAACAGCGCCCCAAACCAATTGACTTTGTGTTCTACTAAGATAGTTTGTAGTTTATGCAAGCCTCACTATGACCCCAAATAGACGAGATAGTAGATGCATCTACATCAGAAAAGTACGGTCCCAAGCCAAACCAGAGAAGTGCGTGCTGGGTTTTGAATGGGTCTTGCGTGGGGCTTGATGTGCACCGACGATTCTTGACGCACTGAGGACATGTTCGAGCATTTTCAAGCGCAAATCCAAGATCGACGCTTGGAGAGCATGCGACTGCAGACCTTCAATGCCGAACGGAATTTAAGCTTTCCCATTTTGAGACCAGTATTCACGCAGAAGAGGCAGATGTGCAGACATACCAGGATGAATGCCTTATGTCATCGCTCCTAATCACCAGTGTGCCCAGGTGAAGTGTTGCTTGCATGGTGCATTACTTGCTTGGTTGATGGTTGGCTTGCGCGCTTGCTTGCTTGATTGCTTGCGTGGTTGCTTGCAAGCGGGCGGGCAGGTGCACTCTCGGTTGTTTGCGTGGTGTTTGGTTGGTTGCTTGCTTGCTTGCTTTCGTGCCTGCGTGCTTGCGTGCATGCTTGGTACTTGTGGGCGTGCTTGCTTGCTTGCGTCCCTGTGTTCTTGCGCGCTTGCGCACGTGCTTAGGTGATTGCGTGCGCGCGAAATGCGTGCTTGCCTGCCGTCCCGCGTGCCTGCCTGCTTGCCTACCTGCCTGCTTGCTTGCTTGATTGCTTTGCTTGGGGCCCCTTTGATACATAATTACAAGAGCATGGCGGACCTGTCGTGACAAACATATTGTCATTGGCCGCTGCGCAACATCGTCCAAGGGAACATGTACTACATCGATCCTAATATCATTCGGCCTTTGACTGCTGCCAAGCAGCTCTCCTACGCTGAGTTGGCATCTTGGCAGAGACATGGACTGGTGCGTGCGGCATGCCTCGCGGTGTCGTTTTCACGCTCGTCACTGAAAGATAGAGATCTTCGACCAACAAGACTCGTGCTTAAGATATGGAATTGAATTTTCCCATTTTCATGGGGGCCCTTTCGTGGACATCATCTAGGTGGGGATGCAGGATGTCCACGACATTGTGCGGTGGTTCCCTATTAAGATTCATAGCCGCGTATGTTGACGGACTTGTTCTTGCTTGCTTGCTTGGATGACTCAGGTCGGACCTCGAAAGGTACAATGGTTTGCCGCTTGCAAGGATTTATGCTGACTGAAAAACTGGGAGCTCGTTTGATGCGAGGCTTTCTCTGGTGGTTCGTTAAAGATGAACTGGAACCTCATAATATGATTGGGGGTAAAGCTGCCGGTGAAGGCAAAAGCTGCAGTCAAGTTGAGTTGCTGCAGGCTCAGATGCTATATTTGGAGAATTCTTAGGAGGGGCACACGGATACGAGGAGTAGCTTTGAAGCTAAGTGCCCCCCCGCCCCCCCAAAAAAAAACACGCTTGGGATTCCCTGTGGTGTCCCTTCAAAACCACGCCCAAAACGCGTGCCCCCATTTCAAGGAACACTTTTAAGCGGCAAATGCTATGTGAAAAAGGGAGTCCCGAAGAAACAGAATAGGCAACCCCAACACCAGTGCCGATCCTCAACAATTGGGCCACAACTGGACGACTCAGGTGAGCCACTGGTGGGGCACCTCGTTCTCAGTGTACTGTGATGCCCTAAAGCGACATGCCAAAGCGGTGAACGAGGACGACGAGGAGAGCCGAAACGATAAAGAGATTTGGTGAGAGTGAACCTGCAACCAGTGGGATCCATCTGTTTTCAACCAAACTACCAATGGACAAAGAACTAAGGACTCAAAGTGGAGTATCATGCCGTTGGACCAAATCCGCTTCGCACCAGTTAGCCTAGCAGGTGATTTGTCCCAGTCTTAGGTTTCATCCATCCCAGCTGATGCGCAATGGGTCAATGCAATTGCATGGGATGATCCCATGTTGTTTGTTTGGAAGCCCAAGGTTAGACAAACACGGTTTTGTATACATCCGCGCACTTTTGACGATCCCAATTCGAAGGGCGACTTTCGATTTTTTTGCTTGGCACAGGATGCCTGGAAGATGACCGCCTACTGGATTTGCCAAGCTCTCAGAAAGACGAGATGATGCCGTTCAGAGACGCAAAGGGGGTGGCGTTTGATTTGAAGCAAAGACGTCCTGGACTCGTAAGCGGGAGCCACAAGGAGGTTGTTGAAACAGGTCTGAAAAGGGGTTGGCTCAAGCCTGCTCCAGGCACCTTCTCCAACAACCAGTACCAAATCGCTGAGGAGTTGTTCGATGCAGTTTTTCCCTTCGGGTTGTTCGAGCTGTATTTTCCCATTCTCTTCAGGCATCATTCTCTTCAAAGAAGGGCCAAAACCCTGGAAAATGGGTGGTTTCCAGAGAAAACGACGCCAAAACCCTGGAAAATTGGTGGTTTTGAAAGAAAACGACGGGTGAAGAGAATGGATCTGGGATCAAACCTTGGAGTTGCGGGACGGTTCCTCCCTCCGCCCTGTGAGGAGCTGGGCAAGTCCCATGAGGAGTCTTCCTTCTACTTGGCTTTGCACAGCGGCGTTTGCAGAGGCGCGGAGATGCGCGGAGCAGCCAAGCGCATCGGGCTGTGGGTGGTCAAAACCGTTAAACGGGAACCCATGTTGGAAATGGCAGGTGAATTCACCGCCCATTTTAGTTAACATATTTTAGTGGTTGGATTGAATCTGATGTTCACTGGGGGTACAATTTGGGTTTTGGCCCATGGTCACATTGTTCATCTAGTGTTGGGGAGGAGGGGGGAAGCGCACACCAAGAGCACCGCACTTTTACCACTTCATTTTGGGGGATAAAGGCAAATTCTCCATGGCTCACATGGCATGGGGTTTCTTAAAGTAAAGGCTGCAAACTGCCATATCTGGCACGCGCGAACACGAGTACCAGGAGTGTTCAACTGGGTGTGCTGTTTTGGGGAAGCAAATACCCTTTTTGGGGTGGGGTTTTCTCAGAAAGCCAGAGGGAGACCCCTGGTTCTGGTGTGTCCCTATTTTACGACGCACCCAAAGTTGCCATAGGAGCCTCGTCCATGCGTCACGTGAGGCACCTGCATGATCCTTGATGAGATGGCGATGCCTCTGAAGAGGTTCCTTGGCTATTAGGTCAACCCCATTTCCCCCACCTTAAGGACAATTAAGGATGCCGAAAGTTAGGATCGTTTGCTCACCAACCACCCAGTGCGACTGGGTCTTTGGAAGGTTGAGGGCTGATTCGTTTAGACGTTTATATCTCACGTGAATCTTTTGGTCCTCAAAAGTCGACCCTCGTAGAGGCACAAGGCGCCCGGGAAGTCTGAAGTGCCGCACGAGCTCATGAGACCTGGGATCTCGTTTGATTTGCTTATGCCGTCATGAACCAGAATCGAGAATACCGTTTCGGTTTGGGAGATGGATAAAACCCGTTTCTTTCGGCACGACACACACACACACACACGGCACAGAGCTAGTTGCGCATCCGCGTTTGTCCATCTTACGTACGCAAAGCTTCGAGGAGCAGAGCGGTAGCAATGCACATCGCAGATGCTTCGCAAGGAACAACTTGCCTAGCTTGCTGTTTATACATTTTGTTGGGCCCATCCACGACAACGCCATGAGTAAAAGCCAGCCAAAGCAGGGGCCAGAGATTTCATTTCCCTATTTTGTTTGGTTTTCCAGGGAAACTCAGGTTGGGTGTGTGCCAAATGCAATCATGCTGCGTTTCACCCAGTGCAAAATTGTTCGCATCAGGGGTTGGGCCGACATCGTGCCGAGAAGAGGCCCCGCCACCCCTGCCCCTATAGGCAACATCCTGCGTTGGACGTCTCCATCACAAACAAGCATTCATGGCAAGCGTTGTAGATCCCCACGCTGTGTGTTAATGAGGAGGAAACATTACAAGCACAGCAAGGGTCTTCTATGAGAACTTCAACTTGCCCTACAGTATACTACATCCCCAAGTAACCGAAACCAAGCAGTGAGCCACCTGAAGCCGAACCTACCACCACCGTATGCTTGACCTCTAGACGGGAGGCCCACTTTCCCGAAAGGAACCCGTCAGAGTCAGCACAACGTTTCGGGTGGGTATGTCCTTGCTTGTTTTCCAGATGTCCCCGAAAGGGCGATGAAGTTCAAAGCGGACCCTGGCAAAGCGCCCAAACAACCGAAAATCCACATCTGTGTTACTCAGTTCGGCCCAGTTTCCGAGGTCCTGGTGCTTGTTCGAGTTGCTGCAAACCGTCCATCTGGAGAAAAGTCAGGCCCGGAGCCCCAGGTTCGGAGGTCGAGGTGTGCCTTGTCCAAGGTGCCGGCCTTTTGGTCGGGAAATCAAGGGAAATCAAAAGGAGAATCCCACCGTTTTGGGGGGGAAGAGGCACCACCAGGAACCAGCTCTCGTGGTTTTTGTTAGGGATAGCCTTTGAAGCAGCAAGGAAAAGGGTCGCCTCAGGCAGTTTTCCTTGGAGCAGGCTTGCTTGGGGCATGCGACTCTCTCAAAAAGTTACGGACGTCCTTTTGCTTCCCCTTCAAACATGTTGCCTGCAGCATAATTCTTATCTTCGGACCATACTCGGTTGTTTGCTTAAGGAGGTTGATGTGGCGCAAGGCACCAATCCACACCACTGAAACGCCATTTCAGAGCGCCATCAAAGTGTGATGCAAATCTTGGCTGCGGTTACGTGTGTTGTGCCTGTCGTGTGTATGGCTCCCTTAACCAACAGGAACCTTTGCAGTCGCTGAAGGGTTGATCATTGATGACCATCCCTCTTGCTGTGTTGCAAGTGTTGAATGATTGAACAGTTGTGCGCAACTTTAAAGTTACGGATAGCTACATGTGCCATAGGTGTTTGCCTATGCTTGTTTTATGTCAAGTCAGTTTCTGTTTCAATTCAGTGTGACACTGACTTTAGCAGTAAGCCGCGTGCTATTTTATTATGTTGAGTTTATGTGTGTTATTTGCGTTGTTTGAGTAGCACTAAACCCTCTAGGAAGGCCCACGCAAGCAAAACCCCGAGCGGCAGAAGCGGGCGTAATCATTTTTTGGGGAAACACGATGCGTATGTGTGTGTGTGTGTGTGTAGGCTCTGCTTCATAACCGCTTGCAAAAGTTGTTGAATGCCAGGGGCTTATAGCCGATTCTGCTTGCCGCCAACAGAGCGAAGAGCCGTGACCTGCAGACTTTGACACGGAAGGGCCGCAGGTGCGATGTTGCAATCCTTCCAAGACTAAAAACTTACCACACAGCGGGTTCAGCAAAACTAAGAGGGTCCAGGCACAGAAGCAGGGGTAAGCAGGCACAGGTTTGCGTAAGCTCGCCTAGAACGGCTGCGCGCTCGCCCACGCAACCCAAAAGCCATTCCTTGATCTGCAGCGGAAGCAAAGTGAAACCTGCAGAACAAGTTGTCAGCCAAATCCAAAGCGTTGCGCCTGGGGGCTACAAAGCCAAGACCCCGAACAGAACAATGACCTGCCTGAGAGCGATTCTGCAGCAACTTCCTCCTCCGAGTCATCCACGCCAACTTGGACAGTTCTGGCGGCTGCATAGCAAAAGCAACCGGGTAAGCAATTCTTCTGCAGAAGCAGTCAAACACTCAAGCGTAAGGGAAGAGTAAGCTCATCATGCTCGCTGACTGCCGCCTAAGCCAAAACATGGGTTGTGTAAGCGAAGCAGTAGCTGGCGCGCAAGCAACCTTTCACGACAAAGGAACTCAGGCGAGCTTTCAGAGTTGCACATTTGCCTTATTGCGTGTTTGTTTATGTTGTGTGTGTGTGAGTCATTTGTTGTTTGTCATTGGTTCTTGGTCATTTGCGGGGGTGTCTTTTTCGGGGATCCGGCCATCCCCCAAAAAGGTGGTTTCCTTTGGTTTCCGTCTAAAAGCCAACTGAAAAGGGTACCACCGGAAAAAAGAAGAAGAAACAAAAAACAACACATGTTGCCTTTGTCCCTCTTAAGAGTGGGCATATGCAGTCGTCGCTTTGCTTAGCGTCTGAGATGGGCTTCACGGGCCTGCTGTTTTGCACCTCCAACGGCGTGCTGAACTTCGGGTCGAGCACTGCGCCTTGGGACTATAGTCTGATATTATCACATAATATGGCCATGAGTTTTAACAATGAACCTCAAAAGTGGTGGACATGAATCCCCACTGAAATGATGTCCACAAAAAGTGACCCGATTAAACAAAGAAAACGCAGCTATTTCAGAGTTGCTGAACAACTACAGCAGTCTTCGGTCATGGCACTGCCGGGTTCGAGACATCACAGAATGTCCTGGAAACGAAGGGACGAGCCCTAGTTGTCCATGTCCTCTTGGGAGAGAACAAGTCGTTTTTGGACAGCTCGTGTACTGATTCGGAGCAGTAAAGGTATTGGACTAGAGGCCCTGACCCAGGCTCGAGCTCACAAAACTGCTGCACCGAAGCACATCTGAAGCTTGTACGTTAGTCTTCCCTGAAGGGGCGGGTTGTTTGTGACTCACCCGTTCTTGCGAGCATGACTGAAATACAGCAAAACAAGCCAAAAGTGGCCGAAGGCGACATCGCTTTAACGTCAGCACTCTCTCCTGAAGGGAACCCATCAGAGAGGAGGCTCCTTTTGGGAGACCCCCCTTTCTGGGTTCCTTCCGTCAATTCCTTTGCGAATCAAAGGTGGTAAAGCCTCCCGGCACTCAGCACATCCCGAGGGCTTGGGTTGGTGACAGCTGTTGTTCTTTCGATGAGAATGGAGGGGATAAACCCACCAAAACTTGGCCCAAAGAAGACAGGGTGTTCAAAGTTGGAGCTTGGTAAAGCGATTTTTCTGTGAGGTGGAAGACCACTGCACCCTTTGTTTGACCGGAAGCTTTCTGAGTGACGTAAGATCGAGGTGGAGATGTCCATGCGCATCGGCGAACGCCTGCTGGACTTAAGCCTCCGAGATGCTGAGGCAACAACTGAGCAGGACTGATCTAAGTCGAAGCAGATATTTTGCTCATTTCCCACAGAATCTAAGCAGGTAAATTCAGGTTCCCACTAGGTGGTGGCTTGGATTGGTGATTTGGTGGTTCGGGGATGGTTTCCCCTGTACCCTGGACAAACACCAAGGCCAACCAATCCAAACCACCAATCGGAGGACCTGATACATTTGGGTAACCATTCCATTGGTGTATTTGGGATTAGACTTCACCTGAAAGTCATAAGTCCAAACGAGTCATCGGCCTGTGAGGGATATTGCTTCATAGAGCTATACCAGTGGAAGAAGCCCGGATGGTAAACCACCCGGCAAAAAGGCAGCAAAGGCTTGTTCCCACACATATCATGGGGACTTACAACCTGACAGGGGATCCCTTGGCGGTCTTTTGACAGGTTTGGGTTGCACTGCCTGATTGTACCTTCAAAACATGTGTGCTGACTGTCTGTTCAAGACTGCAATGCGTTGTTTAGTTTGGGTTGGGGCGATGTGAGATGCATCATAAGCCTGCACTGCCTGAACTTTCATGTGGCAAAGCAGTATAAATTGGTGTCTGCCGGCTAACGGCTGCCAAGGGAATGACATGAACAGGCCAGAAAAAGTTGCACGTGACCATAGGTGTTTGTTTAGTTGGGTTGGGTGGAGCATAGATGGATTGCACTCAGTTTGGTCCTTATCATTTCCCAGTTTACTCTTGACGAAACCTGCCGTGACTCTGTTTGACTGCCAGGACGGGAGGTCATTACGCTGGATGCCAGCGGAACATGGTGGTTTTGCAGTTGGATGTGGTTGGTTACATCAGTCGCAGTTCTGATGATTGAAGGGGTAAACTCTTCTTGAAATTCTCTGCTGAATCACCAAACCGAGCATTGAGCGCAGGCCAGACTCCACATCATCATGAGCGGTTTGTGTGTGTGTGTGTGTGCGTGTGCAGGTACAATGTGTTTTTGTTTAATGCCGTGGGTGTAAACATTCGGTGTATGTGTAAATGTGTGTGTGTGTGTTTGTTTGTTCGTACGACTGTTTGCATGCGAGAGCATGGGTGTGACTGTGTGTGTGTAGTGTTTGTTTTGTGTTACGTAGTGTTGCGTTTATTTGTTTATGATCGTGCTTGTGTATGTTTGTGTGAATGGGACGCTGGGTGGGTGAGTGGGTGGGCAGGCGGGTGGGTGGGTGGGTAGGTGGGTGTGGTTGTGACTGAGGCTGTGATTGTGGCTGTGTTAGTGTTTATGTTTGTGTTTGTGTGTCTTTGATTGTGTGTGTGTTGTGTCACTGCGCGCGCGTGGGTGTGTGAGTAATTGTGTGTTTACTTGTGTTTGCGTTTGTGTGTGTGTGTGTGTCTGTGTCTCTGTGTGTGTGTGTGTGTTTGTGCTTATGTTTGCACTTGTGTGCGATGTGTGTTTGTCTTTGTGTGTAAATGGGTCGGATGGGTGGGTGCGCTGGTGGGCGAGCGGCGGGTGGGTGGGTTGGTGGATCGTGTTTGTGTGCAATGTGTGTGTGTGTCTGTGTCTCTGTGTGTGTCTTTGTGCTTATGTTTGCACTTGTGTGCGATGTGAGTTTGTCTTTGTGTGTAAATGGGTCGCATGGGTGGGTGCGCTGGCGTGCGAGCGGCGGGTGGGTGGATTGGTGGATCGTGTTTGTGTGCAATGTGTGTGTGTGTGTGCATGTGTGTGTGTGTGTGTTTGCGTGTACTCGTGTGAGTGCATGTGGGTCTCTCTCTCTCTCTCTCTATCCCTCTGTGCTTGTGTGTACGCGTGCCTACGCGTTGTTGATATATCTTTGTTTAGTGTGCTTGTGTGTGTTTGTGCACGTACGTGTAAGCGTATGCATACGTGAGTGCGTGTCCGCATGATATGATATGCCTGTGTGTGTGTGAGTGTGCGTGCTGTTTGCGCTGTGTGTGTGTGTGTGTGTGTGTGTTTGTGTTGTTATGTTGGTTGTGTGTGTGTGTGCGTGTGTTGTGTGTGTGCTTGTTCTGTGTGTTGTTTGCTTGTTCTGTGTGTTGTTTGCTTGTTTGTTTTGTTTGCTTGTTGTTTGCTTGTTGTTTGCTTGTTTGTTTGTTTGTTTGTTTGTTTGTTTGTTTGTTTGTTTGTTTGTTTGTTTTGCTTGTTTGGCTTGCTTGCTTGTTTGCTTGTTGGCTTGTTGCTTGTTTTGGTTTGTCATTGGTGGTGCTTTGTTGCGATTGTGTCGGTGTGCGTCTGTGTGTGTGTGTTTGTGTGCTTTCCGCAACGCAATGGCACACGCGACGCTGCAGGACAAGCAGATGATCACGGATTTAGTGCTGCAGCTGGGACTTTGCAGAAACGCCACGGGTGCAACAGTATCTTTACGCAATTTGTTGGACCAACTGGAAACCAACCATGAAAAAGGATGAAAGGGCACATCGCCTAGAAGGAGCAGATGGTGTTTCAGCGTCTCCAGTGTCCACACACCAACTTGCATGCGAATTGCACGAGACACGCACAAGTCAAAGCCGGCAATTATTGCCCGAGCATGAGTGGTTCATACATCAGAATCGTACGAACAACTTATAGGCCTGACATGACATCAACACCTTCACAATTCATAGGCTTGACCTCATGTTAACCTGATGCCTAGACATGCCATGCGCAAAATTCGACGCACGCGGTTGACGCTGCAATGGCAACACAGAGCATCTCAGATCCACCGAAATGTTGCATGTCAGAGAGAGGAACGAACTAGAAGCCATGCAACTGAGCAACAGCAAGTGACTGACGCAAGGTCACGAACGTTGTAGGAAACATTTATCAGAGGTCAAATCTAAGCCACTTGCATGTTGTAAGAATTGGGAGGATTTGATCATAACTCATACAGATCCCGAAGCACGTTCAAACGTGGGTCTTGAAACATAGGAATGATTCACGAAGCCCACCCGTCAAGGTGCCAAAGCAAGTTCAATCCAAGGAAGCAAATGAAAAGCTTTGACGAGATCGACAAGGTGCTGCGGATGCATATTCATGAGGCTCTCCAAGTCTGCCGCAAACGCGTAGACGCCGATTTCTGCGAGCTACTGGAACGGCTCCCGCATGACAACCAGGCAGAGCTTGAGTCTGAGTTATCTGCACAAGCTTTGTAGAGCAGCAATGTGTTGCATTGGTTTGGCGTTTTCGGGCGCTTGAAGTCTTGAAGCGCCTCGTGTTGTTTCACAGGCCCTGTTAAAGGTCCCAGTTTCTTCTGGAGCTGCATGTTTGGTGTCAAGATTTCTCTTGTTTCCGCGTGCACCGTCTCCAGAGCCATGAATTGTTTCAAGCTGAGTCCAAAGTGAGATTCAGTCATCATGTCCAATAGTCTATGATGGTTACGGTTTCTGTGGGAAGGGTGACTCCCCACAAAACCAGAGGACTCTCTGATTTTCCCATGTCCACCATGGAAGCAGGCTGCAAAGCAGCTCGTCTCCATAGCAGCCCTGTATGGGAGGCTAGAGTACCGTAGTCGATCATGTCGCCTTTGCCCAAGGTCTTTTGGAACCTCAAGGGCCAAAACTCCGCGGGCGCGCTTGTCTCTCGGTCATCCATTAAAAGTGCAAGCGTGGTGCTTTCAGTTGGGTGAAAGATGGCACTTCTTTGCCAACACAAAAGTAATTCTGTCAGCAAGGCCGCACTCTTGGTTGACTTATCTAGGCCCCCCGGTAGTGCCCTTTTACCCTTATTTTGGGGAGGGTTCCCTACTAAAATAGACTACAACAAAAAGGGTACCCTTATTCCAACAGCGCTCTACTGGAGGACCTGTTTGGAGGACCTAGTTGTGCTGAGCCTTTGCGTGGACCAGGTGTACACAGACCCCAGCGCCAGCCCGTTGGCCGCTCGGAGCCCAGAAAGTGGACGCCTTGGAGAGGTTCCCCGGAGACTTTGGGTCGCAAGGCAAAACTAACCCATCAAAGAGGATTAAAGTGGGTAGCTTTGGCTATGCTTTTTTGAAGCACGCGATTTTTTGGGGCGATCAAAATGAGCAATGCGCCATAAACCCTGGTGATGATAAGTAGTCAGGCAGGTGTGATAAAAGCGCCTCCACGATTCCAATAAGCAGGCTGCGAAAGCTTGCGAAAGCCTACCAGAAAGGTCCCGCCGAACGCCCCCCCTTTTCCGAGAGTCTGATGATTGGGAGTTGTAGTGCAACAAGGTTTTAGGCTGACTCATGCGCATGGAGGTCAAAGCTGTCCGTATGCCAAAGTGTTTTCTCCTTTTAATTTGGGCGTAAATGTGTTCCGAGAAGAAAACACTTTTTCCACGCAAGCTTTGCGAGGGTCGCGCGAAAGCCCTGCAAAAGCAAAACACATCCCAGAAAGGAAGTGCAAAAGCAAAACACATCCCTGCGAAAGCAAGACACATCCCTGCGAAAGCAACACACTCCTTTGCGCTTGGCTCCAGGAGGCTGAACTGCACTGTCACGCTCCTGCGGACGTGTGTTTCGATCCAAGCGGCGTGCTTCGTAGCATCCGCCGCGAATGCGCCGCGAAGTCAAACCTGAGGGACACAGTGCTCGCAAAAGCAAAACACATTGTCGCGAAAGCAGCGCGAAGGGTCCGTGCGGCAAATTCATAGTACCGCTTTTTACACGAGTTTTCGGCACTGCTTATCTGACGAGCAAACCGTTGGTTTCCAAGCACCCAATTGTCGCTTCCCCGCGATTGGAAAAAAGCAATACCTGGTGTATTGCCTTGTCCCTTTGGTTGTGTGTGTAGGTTAAACATGTACTTGGAAGTCTGTTTACAAGTTGTTGCAGAACACAAAGTAAGTGTCCTGTGTACGTGCCTCGCATTCCTTCTCACACTGCCTGCAGTGAATCCGCCAAATCTGAGCCTTGGGTTTCCGAGCGGGCAGCTTGGCCTCCAAACGGACCTAACTGGAAACGCGTTGGTCCCCTATTGGCTTTCCTCCGAAACAACCCGAACAAGGGTACCGAGCCTTTTAAAACCGGGGCCGCTCCGTATAAACAGGCCTGCAACATTGTTGAGGGTCAGTCAGTCAGTCCCTTGAGATCCTTACCAGTATCTTCTTGGTCGGAGATCCCTTCCTCAAAACAGAGCCACACCCAAATGCGCAGTTGTCGAAAGGCCCCTTTTATTCAACAGTGGTACAGGCACTAATTGAGCTTCGCAGTCTGGTAGAACTCGTCTCTTAGAACAGCTTGTGTTGGACGTGAGCAGACCCAGCAAAAGCGTGAGCAAGCTAAAAGGCGGGACCACGAGAATGGGGAAGTGAAGCGCGCAGAAAATGTGGCCCTGTGCATGAATCCGACAAGCTAAGTTGTTACTAACTAGCTAGCTAAGCTAACTAGCAACCAGCTAACTCGCTAGCCAGCCAGCTAGCCTAGCTGACTACCTAACCAGCTAACTAGCCAACAGCCGGCGTGCTAACTATTAAGTCAACAAGCCCCGTAGCTATTTTGATTTCACACGTGCGCCAAAGAGGCGGAAACACTGCGCAGGCATCACGCATTGACAGGGAGCCACCTCCCAACCTATAGTTGCTTCAACTTGCGGCTTCGCTGGCTTTCTTGGCAAGGAAATCGTGACCATGACCCGCGGTTTGAAGTGTTCACCAAGCTCGTTCCTTCCAAAGGCCCGGTTGGACCGGGTTGTTGGTGGAAAGATTCCTTGTGTCCCTCTTAGGTGTGCTTCCTTGGGTGGGTGACATGGGTTTGTGGTGTTTCGATGGCACAAATGAGTCGCAACAACCATCGCTAGGTACATCTCCGCAGCCATGCTGCTGCTTCTCGCCCTAGGTTTGTCCAGGAGAGAATGCAGCCGCCTCCAGCTTGCTTCCTTGTTCCTTGTCAAGGCAAGCAGAACAAGGGTCTATTTGTTGATGCCCCGTTTTTTGTTGTTTCTTTGGGAAACCGAAAGGATCACCGATTGTTTCCCCAAAATTCCGACGGTCGCAGCTATCCCATGCCCTTTCTCTCTTATGGCCAGCGGGGAAGAGTGTGATTTGAGCATCTCAAGTATATGTTGTTTTTTGCAATTGGCCTCATGTGGGTATCATACCCTTGGTTCCCCGAGCCCAGCGTGGAGACCCTAGGGTGTTGCTGTTTGTTTCTATTCAAAACCATCAGCTTGCAGTATGCATGATGTCAAAATACAATCTTCGCCCTGGTGCATATTGATCGCAAAGCCGCTGCGACCTTTGTGTTTGCGCAGGAGAGCAATCTGAAAGGCCGATGCTTCAGCCATGGACAAAGAAGTACTTGGGAAAAGTGAGCCGCTGACTAGCCGGGGACCGGCGAGGAAGTTTTCCTGATGTGGAAGTGCGATTTTGAGCCCCAAAGGAGATCAGTTGCAGCCATTCACGAACCTGACCAACCATTTTGGCCAGACAGAAACCATGGGCAGATGGCAATATGGTCGGTGCGTCACGCAGAGTGGCTTGATGCTTTGCTGTTCTGACTTGGCTGCTTGGGTGGTTTAAACATCACGATATGCTTACCAGTTTCGCTGGAGTTTCTCTTTGGAAGGGTGATGTGCAATTGCTTTCGTGGCAGGAGTCAGGAAGCGTAAGTAAGAACCCGCTCGCCAGGGGCCGTGCTGGCCCAAACAGTTTTGAATTATTCAGAGTGCTGTACCTGAATGAAGCACGTACCTGCACTGGCAATTGTGCCGGAGTGAGAGTCACCAACCGCTTGGAGTGGTATGCGTGGCACTCAAACATGATCCACGTGTGTCGCAATTGCCGCACACATAGACAAACAATCACAAGCAGATCACAAGCAGACATGCAACACACCCCTCACATAGATGCTCGATGATACATCGTCTCGTGGGCAGGCAGCGGATTCATGCTGAAAGGGGCGTGAAGAACCTCTATGGCAGGGTTCCCTTTTCTTGCCTGGTTTTGATGTCCATTTCCACTGCAAGGAAAGGAGGCTTAGTGTTTTGTTTGCCAAGAGAGTAGCTGGCTACTTGAGGTATCGCAGCATATGGCAGCATATCGTACTTGGGCGATGGACACCCTCAAGAACTTCCACGAGGATCAGACGTCGATTTCATTGGGCATTGTCTTGACTGCTATTGGGTTGGATCTTTAGACTTTAACTTTTTTGGAAATCAAGCGGTTTTCCGCTAAACCCCCAAGAAGTTAAACTTTTTGCAGGGGGTCGTTGCAGCTACCTAGATATCTGGTTGTGTTTGAAAGTACTTGAGTGGCAAGGTTCGAATGTAACACAAGCATGTCGGAGATCGTCCGTCACCTCCAAGCCCAGATTAAATTGATTGGTTTCCTTTTGAAAAAAACCTTCACGCCTGAGCCACAATTCAATCCCGGGCAAGTGAAGGTTAGTAGTAAGGACACGCTCAACCTTAAATAGGTGCAGCCGCCTTTGCAACCTGGTAGCTCTTTACATGGTTTTGGGTTCACCATTTTCGTACCACATTGTGATTGTGGCTCACCTGAGCACGATTGAGCACGTTACTCCGCCGATGCATGTGCAAGGTGTGAGGCCCGTTGCCCCATGCGTAGTCAGATTTCACGTTGCTCGAGAGACAAACCGTCCGAGCTCTGGGGGGAAAATCCCTATCTAAGGCCCTGTTCTTAGGGATATTTTATTTGTTGAAGTTGGAATAAAGTTTCCAGAATCGAGTTCCTTGTATGGGTCCCGGCCCTGACTGGCAAGTTGTGGCTTGGAACATCTTTTTAGGAAAACAACAAAATGTGACCGAACCCAGGGATCAGTGTGTTTCTCAAATGTGCGAACTCTGGAGATAATTATATACTTATTTTCAGAAAACAAAACACATGAACCCAGGAATCTTGGGTGGATTCAAAACGATTGGTGAATGGGGCATCAACCTTGTGCAACCTGGATTTGTGAAGCCTGGGCCGTTGTAGGCGATGGCCCCTTGCCGGTCGAGGCGCTACTGAGAGTTACTGGTCACTGTGTGGTTTCTGTAAGGGAAGCGAACTGGGAAAGGGTACGCACCAAAAAGCGACGCCCTGCATTTGAGGGTCATGTAAAAAGGGGATGCCGCCTTTCTCCCCTTTCTCTGCAACCCTCTTCAAAAGGGAATCGGAAAAAATCAAAGCACTGCACCTGCGCTTTCGTGGAAGCCGTTCAGATTCCGGTGTTTGGCAAAGCAGCGAACCGCAGGCATTTAAATGGCAGAAAGCTCATGATGCTTGCCGTCTTTGGTCCTTCTCTTGGCACACCGAACAAGATTGCTTGAGGAGAGATAGTATCTTGTTGGGTGCCTAAACCCGCCAGCAAGGGGGAAACGAGCAGGAAGACAATGGCATGCCGAACTTACTTTTGAGCCGTCAGTGCTTTCCCAAGGAGTGTGGGCTGGAAGACATGACCATAGCGATGAATCACAGTCGTAACTCCCTCAATATGGTGGGGCAAATCCTGGGCCCGTTTTTATCCCACTTGCAGGACTTCACTTGGATTGCAAATATTTTGCATGGAAGCTGACCAAAGGGGTCTTGGAAGCCTAGATTCCTTTGGAAGCCACCTGTCCACCATGTTGGAAACAAGAGATCTGGGTGGCTCGCTCGCCCTCGCGACTGAAGGCGGGTTCCACATCGCTCCGAGCAGATTCGCGCGGTGGCAGTGCCCTGCAGGCCATGGAAGCCGACAATTTAGCCATGCGGGGGCATGTGCGTGGCTTACATAGGAAACCACCTCAGGTTGGTTGGTGGACAGCTAAAAATGAAAGGATGCCTATGATGCCTAATAGAGATGTACACCCAAGTTTCCTTCTGGTGTCATGTTCCAAAATGAAATGTAAGGTTTGTCTTGCGAATCTGAGTCGGCATCGCATAGCCATTCAACGAGCTCCAGAGACTTGGCTGCAAGCACTCGCCGTGTCTCGAGTTGATCCTGAGGTTCGATCAGCAGGCGCCGGGTCGACACCAGTGGTGTGTGTGTGTGTCTTTTAGGGAATTCAACATTGGGAAAGCGTGGAGACAAATCCATGGTTGCAGCAGGCAGGCGTTCGAATGGATTGGCAAAGGCCTGCATAGAATTGGACAATGCCACATAAAATTATTTGCACAACTGCGCTTGTGGCCGTTGAGAAGCTTGGAGCAACACGAAGAGGACAGGTGCCTATGTGGGTATCCATGTCAATGTTGTGGTATGGAAAATGAGAAGGCAAGTTGAAGGAATTTGAGTTTGCGCGGGTCATGTTATTCGGCTGAAGCCAGCAGCGCCCAAAATCGATTCCTATTCGCCATTTTAGTGCGCCTTTTAGTAGGTGATGTTGCTACCTGGCCATGAGGTTAAGCAGAACATTTATTATATATATATATACACCGAAAAACGTCGATGAGTTCGGAGCGCGGCTCAAGTCACTTGCAGGTGTTTTTCTATCAAACTGCGAATTAGACGAGAGCATATAGGCGTCAATGTTAGGACAGTCTGGTTGAACATAAACAGCCATGGATTCAGTTTTCGTTGTCCAGTGTCATCTATTTCCCAAAAGGCCAGCAATGTGGAAATCCTACTCTGACTCTGCGCAAAAAACACGACAGCGAATACGCATAGATACCTCAAATGAGTGGTCAAGACAGCCCAAGTTGGATACAAGCCTCAGAAATAGACAGCCGAGACCCATTTGATATCTCTGGTCATTCTAGCCGTTTTTTGGCGCGAAGGGGAGGAGGGTGACTCAAGAGGTCTGCCAGTGTTGTCATGCTAGTCTCAACTGCGAGGGGCTGTTTGTATTTTCAGAGCCGTTCAGATCGCTAACAATTGACCAATCTGAAACAGGCTCGCAGGGCTTTCAATAACCAAGATGCAATTGTTGGTCAAGTACTTGCCAGATATTTTGCATCATGCATCCATGGTCGCGAACACGACTCACTCTACGCTATTTAACCGCTATTTGCACCTCGTGGAGACACATGCTTTGGATTGGATTCGTGCTTCATTAGAGAAGCCTTGAGGGTTGAGCGTTCATGCATTCTGTGTTGGACTCGGCTGAAAGGAGTTTTGCCTCGTCTGCTGATGAGAAGGACCCTTACAAGTGTCCAGGCTGCAATTATTCGTTTGAGGCAACACGTTTGTTTCTCGCGCGTTTCTTGCACTGGACGGTTTCCGAGGATCCTTGGTGTTGATCCCAAAGCATCGCAAGAGGAGATCAAGAAGGCGTACAAACGGGAGGCCGGTGGTCATCACTGGTCATGGCCCCGTTGTTCGGGAATTCGACAACATTCCACAAAGGCCCCACGTAAATAGCTACCCGTGGCTCGTATGCCAATGATATTAAGCAGAAACCCGCCCTCGAAAAACGTACACCAATTGGTCCTCAATTCAGATTGAGAGCCCTACGTGACATGGTCAAGACATTTAGTTGCTTGGGGGAACTGGTCACGGACCCCCAAGGGAACATAGAGACACAAGCACAGTGCGAGCGCTGTAGAAATCGGTTGGTCGAGGCACGAGGCTGCATTTCCTAGGTCCCCCAGTGCCCTTCTCTCCCCTTTTTTGGGGAGGGTTCCCCTACTGAAATAGACTGGTACCATTATTCTAACCTCTCTACTGGAGGACCTAGTCTGTTAGCGTCTTTAAAAGCACTGGTGTTACGCTCTGGAGCGAGTGGACCCCAGGAAAGGTACAGCTTGATTGATGGGAATGGTCCCGACGAGGCCATGAAGTGGCATCCAGATAAGCAGCCTGAGGAAAAGCGAGCGGAGGCTGGGGGGACAAATGACGTCGGTGCGGGTTGCGTGGAGAATGCGGGACGGAATAGGTTAACCACATGGAATGTGGGGTATTCATGTGGGTACATGGTTATTAAGTTGTCACTCCCTGTGGGTTCCGCCTGGTGGATATGAATTACTCCCCACGTGTGCAAGGGATTCTTGAAGAAACTTCTGCACATGGGGCTGGTATCCCGATCTGTCGGGATGCCCGACCCTGAGAGAAGTCCCATTGGCCTCAGCTTTGATTCATTTGGGCGGATCGTTTTTTGAGGGCACCCCTCTTAAATTAAAGCCCCCGGCAACTCCCAACTGCCTCCCCAGAGCCAATAGGCAACCCCCGGGCCACGTGAGGCTGGTTATGCTGTGGAAAGCCTTCCCTAGGAAAAGCCAGCCCTAGGAATAAAACAACACCTCTACCGCAGGGGAGCTTGCCATTTGCGAAGATCAAGGCCAAATGTCCCAGGTATCCTTTTTTGCTCAGTTCGGCAAAAGACAACATGGTGTCCACTCGTTCTAGTTTGTTTCTATTCATTCATCACTGGAATCCATCAGTTGTCAAAAAGGATACCTAAATTGGAAGTTCTGAAGTTGCCTCGAATGACGAGAAAAAAAAAAGGAAAAGAAAAAGAAGGTGTGAGACACCGAGTGAGAGCAAGCCCAAACCCGTCAGGCACAGAAGCGCTTCAGTCAGGTGGCCAATGCCTATGAGGCGTCGCCGAGTGGAGTCACCTTCCGAGAGGGTAAAAGCCTCTTGTTGAATTTACCCCAAGGGAAACCAAAAGGGATGGGCAGTTATTTGTTTGGGAGTTCGGTGTTTTTTTTTTGCCAGTCCCCCAAAGAAAAGCACCCAGATTAGTTTGCCGTTGTTTCAACATCATTGAAGTGCACAGCCGGATTTTGGAAGACTATGTAAAGAGGGGTTTTATAGTTGGCAAGATGGCAGGTCCCATTTTCTGTGAGTGGATCTGGTGGAATCCCTTCAATGACATTCAGTAGGCATGAGTTCAATGAGATGACGCTACAGAAAAAGCGCCGGGCCGAGCAACACGTCGATCCAAGAGGGTCCAGCCATTCCAAAGCCACATCACATGCTCAGACCAAGTTTGGATATTTCAATTGTCCCTTGGGTCTCGGTAGTTGGTTGAAAAATGACACCCCTCGAGTCGGCACAGACCCTGTCCAGCGCCGACAAGCGGCGCATGCATGACCTGGGCGGAGGAGGCCGGGTATGCCCTTGATGCTGCATCATTGATGTTGGAACGTGTTTTTTGGTCGTGTGAGGTATCTGGCAGAGAACCATTCAGCCTTGGAACTTTCTCATTCCATCAGCAACCTACAACTTGCAGGCTGGCCTGCATAAATCGCAAAGAACACAAACATGTGAGAGTGCACAGACCCCTGAAAGACCACTTTTCCGTTCGTACAGAGTTGGCTTGTGCACAAACCCCCGGTCGGGAGTTGGCACACATTCAGAGCTGTCAGGCATGCCTGGCCAAGCGCCCGGCTCCAGCCCTAGGTCCTGGTGTGCACTTAAGCTACACCCTGGGTTTACCTCGGAAAGTGACCCCAATTCCCAATTGGCCGTGGGTCAACACCAATGGTACCATTTTGGGGTAGGTGCACCACCCATGATAGTCCATTCTAGTGGGGATTGGGATGTTCGCTGGGGGTACGGGGTTTTGACCCATAGCCAATTTGCAACCACAACCAGGTGTCGTGTGGGGATAGAACACCCCGGTGCCACATTTCTGGCCTTGAGAGGCGGAGAAACGCTTGGAAAACAGGTTCACCATGTTCCCCAGGGTTGGTGTAAAAGCGCAGAAGCGCTGCCTTTTCGGGCGAAATCAACGCGAGCTTCTTTGTTTCAACCTAAGCCTCAGTCAACTTTGCACTTTGACCGTGGCCCTGAACAACATGTCCGCTATGCAATATTATTAATATAATGTCAGATTAAATATAAAATGGCCCAAGCAAATTGGCGATGAAAGTTGCAGGGCTTTCCCGACTCCGTTTGCCTGTGCTTCAGGTGCTTCAGGTGGTTTTGGTGGCCAGGGCCAATACAGCCAGGCCGCGGCCTTTGGCAAATGCAGAAGATGCGCTCGGTTCTTTGCAGGTCAATGCCAAAAGCAGTGCAGCTCCAAAAAGGAGGCTCTCAGACAATACTTTTGTAGCAACTGACAGTCCGACAATGTCCAGCAGCTTGAATTACAGTCAGACAGAGTCATCGCAGGGCATGGATATGGCCCGGAACTGCGAAACTTACATGTTGCACTTGATTGCACCAGTTCAGAGGCACGCACCTTGGAATAAGCACCAAATTGCAACACACAACTACACAACAACTGCAAAGAGATTGGCCGACTTGAGCGTGAGTTTCAAGAGAAACCGGTTATTTGCCGAATTCGTTTGGGCTCCATGGGAGTTTGCAGCTGGCGTTGACTATGCGGCGCCGCACCTGGGCGCTGTGGCCATTTTGCCTTGGCCCTGCCTTCCTGGCGAACTTCCCCGTTCGCGAAGCTCCGGTGTCGGGAAAGCGGATAACCAAAGGCGCGGTTTGAGACGAAGTGGACTGCGGTCACAAGGGGCGCACACCAAACATGACAGCTGGAAACGAGCGGCAGAGGCTCAAATCAGCGCCAATTCGGGACTCATCCGGACCAGATGACTTGGAAGAGTCCACCCTTACATGAAGCCTCCGCTACGGAGACGCACCAATGATTGGCATGGTCCTTTGAATTAGTCCAAAGTTGACATAGTATCTATACTAAAAGGCCCCCACCCCCAGAATTGGCATTAGGAAGCAGGGGTTCTCACCCAACGCCCATGTCATTTGGGAACATACTAGAAATAATAGTGGCTGCAACTCACTCAGAAGCAGAGAGGCAGGGACTGGGAAGGCATTTGGTTAAGTATTTTTAGAAGCAACAAGAGAACACCTGGGTGACAGTTCTTGCTTGTTTCCAGGACTTCCAACTTGTTTCGCCAAAAGTGAAAAATGGCACGTTTCATTGGACCTCGCCAGTCAATTGCAACTTTCGATGCGGAAATTTGCTGACCCCTGACCGCTGAGGGTTTTTCTGATGTGCAGTTCGCCCTCATTCTTTGCTTGTGCACTATGTGTCTAGCGGGCGACCAAAAGACCCATTCTTGCATGAAGTGTGCCTCTTTCCAGCTGCAGTGTGCCCAGCCACTGAAATTGTTTCAAGGTTGCAAAATCCAAAAGTTTTAAACAACATCCGTGGAACGTGTGTTTGTACTCCAATCACTCAATGCGTAAATTTGCTAAGTTTCCAGTTTGCTAAGTTTGCTAATCTGCCCAAATCTTTGGTTGCCAAATTTGCTGACCCATGATTGTTGGCGCAAGAATCCAAAGGGTTTTGAATTAACACCCCACCCCCTCTTTGCCACTACTGCTTAGGGAACCACCCCTTGAACACCAAGAATAGGCTGTCTGATTACGAGGGGTCAGGGTCTGGTTGGGACCTGGGCGCTGTTGGTGGTTCAACTGTCACGCACGCAGGTCTCACCCCGGCTCCCAGAGCCGAGCAGAGGACCGCAAGGAGCGCGCGTATTCCGCGGACTGCGTATGTGGCGGCACAGGCTGGTTCGGGTTCAACAATATAGAAACAAACATACTTAATCAAAGGGTGCATTGTTTTTGGTAGTAACAGGTTCCCATTTCTTTAATTAAGTGTGTCCTTTTCCGCGTGGGACACTTTTGCAGGTTGTTGTTGTTTTTTTTAAATGGGGAATCCATTGTAAGGCCAGCCGAATTCCATGTTGGATGTTAAATTCAGAGACGTTGTCAGGTGCCCATTTTTTTGTTGAAAGGAAAGCCACAAAAAATCCAGCCGAAGCCGGTTTTGCTTTTTCCTTTGCGAGACACGCGCCATGTTTGCATCTTTGTTAATTATGAGTGTTTTGGCTCATTTCCAGTATCATGATTTGTTGGTTTCTCTGATAAAAAAGAACAAGATTCGATTTCGAAGTGTTTCTTTGCTCTAAGAAATGTGTATTTTATTTTGTTGTCTGCTTTTTTTGTCCAGTGGAGGTCTCGCAGGTCTTGACTAGCTTCGGCCCCTTTGGCTTCTTTCTGGCCGGAGGTTTGTGTTCCAGCCTGTCTCATGTGCTGGCGACGCCTGTGGATGTGGTGAAAACCTCCCAGCAGAAGGCGACGAGAAGCTCGGAGACTTGCAGACGCGTTGGAGTGTCACATATTTTGTTTGACAAGGGTGGCCCCAGCTTCATCAAAAACTGAAGCTGGGTTGTTGCCCAGCAAAACATCCTGTACATGGGCAGACACCGCAACTCGCCTTCTGCCAGTTTGGGACTTGTTGATCCTGGAAAGAATCAGTTGGGGCACTTGAACCTGCAAAGGCTGCCCTGGGTCCCTTGATCAGTCAGAGCCGAACAGCTTTTGATTTTCTGAGTCCTTGTGGCATCTAGAGTCTTCCCGTTGGAAGCAAAGGCAAGGGGTCGACCCCACACGCCAGGACGGTTGTTGCCAGGATGGTGGAAGTCAGATTTTGCTTCGTTCCGACCCCCTTTCTCCGGGCCCAAAGCTACCAAGAAGCGTCAACGTGACCTGACGTGACATCGAAATTGCCATCAGGAATTGAATGGTGGCTTGAAGGGTTCCCCTTTTGTTGAGAACCCCTCCAAAGGTTCACCTAAATACGGAACCAAATTTGACTTTGAGAAGCAGAACCGTCCCGATATTTGTGTGTTCAGCTGTTTGCACATCATTTACCTATGGGGAACCAAGGCAATCACGCTTTGGAGACTACAATGGCAAAGGGTTACCCACTATGGCGAATCATCTGGGATCCACTGGGTAAGGAACTCGTTGACCCCCAAGTCGGGTGTTTCCTTCGGTATTCTTGCAAAACAAACCAGGCAACAGGGGGCTCGTAGGCGAGGGATAGACATGGGACCTCTCTGGGCATGCTCGCCACCGCGCTGGAGCTGGTGAAGAACCACGGGCCCAAGAAGCTGCTCAGCGGCGCTGGGGCTACCTTCACGGGCTACTTCCTGCACGGCGCCTTCAAGTACGGCCTCTTTGAGGCGGGTGGGTTGGACGAGAAAAGTATCATTCCCCGAGTTATGACCACGGGGTCCCCGAAGTTAGTTCAGGCGGAAATGGTTTGTATGTGGTGAAAGTCTGAATTTTGTTTGGTGGTTTTATTCAGAGTCAGGCCACGTAAAGAACGGATTTGATCAGCCCCAGGTCGGCCCCCTGTTCATGTAACCGTTTTGGAGGAGTGAACCATCGCTTGGGAGTTGTTTCAAGTTGCATGGGACCAAGCTGCCATTGAAACGAACCAGCTCTTTTGGTTCTCCTTCTTGGGGGACCAGGGTCCAACGTTCTTGGGGGCGCCTGGCGGCCTGGAGGGGTCTCAACCTTCATGGTGTTACCCGTTCTGGGGTTCCCAAGACCGAGTCAAAGGGCAACAGAACCAAAGCAGCCAAAGCAGTTCGGAGGCTCCCCAGACCTCTAGGGGGCACTTCCCCATTCTTTGCAGGGATCCTTCTTTTCAGAAAACCAGCAGAATCCACGGGGAAACAGCGACCGTTTTTTCTTTTTTTGAAAAGAACGATGGTTGAACAGAATGGAATCGGAATCAACCCCTAGAAAACCCTCAGGTCTGGAAAGGCCTGCTTCGGGTGCACAGCGCCTCGCTAGCGATGCACATCCCTCTGCTTTGCGCCAGCGCCTTCCTGGCCGAGTTGATGGCCACTGTGGTGCTTTGTCCGGCGGAAGCCGCCAGAATCGTGTCACTGGACGAAGCGAATGGACGTGTTGACGTTCTTTTGTTTGACTAGGTCCCCCAGTAGTGCCTTTCTCTCCCCTTTTTGGGGGGGAGGGTACCCCTACAAAAATAGACTACAGAAAAAGGGTTCAAGTTTCCAAGGGTTTGCCTTCATTCAGTCCTTTTGTCCTTTGGTTGGTTTCCCATGTGGGATTTCGCATGTTCAGTCATGTTCAGTCAAGGTTTTAAAATTTTAAAAGGTGAACCTTTTTCGTGGCCGGGTCTTTTTGGCAAGCGAGGTTAGTGGCAGATCCCTTATTCGTCGAACCGACGCGGCAAGCCTATGAGCGCTTTTGCAAGCAGCAGAAGAGGGGCATGCACGGGATCCATCAGAGCCTCACAATGCAACCAATTGACTCACAGGCCGTGTCTTTCTTGGTGACTCCCTTTTCTGGTGTTGTGTTCTTTGGAAACAACCCAGTTTGGGGTGGGGTTCCCAGATTTTGAAACAAACCCCCAAACATGCAAGAACCCAACCATAATGCAAGGTGGTTGAGAGGGTTTCAACTTCCTCGATCGCAGATTTTGGGAATCAGCCGTTTCAGCAACAGAAGAACATGGATTGGTGCTTTTGCGCTGCGCCGCAAGTAGCCAGGTTTGATTTCCATCGGGCTTGCAGGACACCAATCACTTTTGTGCCCAGTAGTGGGGGAACACCCCTCTCAAAGTTGACAAGGTTTGGAGAAACCGGAGTTTGGGGCTTTGCAGCAGCTCCCTGGGATTGGTTCCGGACCCGGCCAGTCGTCCGGTCCTTTCCTGTGTAGACCCCTCCTGGCCAATAGAACAGCAATAGGAAGGTAAGGGGAACTTGGACTTACCTAGTTTCCAGGGCGGGAGGCAACACTTGATGAATCAGAGGGGGTTTTGTGCTATTCGGGGCGGGGGCTGGCGTTGAAGGGTACCCTTTACAATTTGGTCAAACCATGTGCCGTTTCCGGCTGGCCGTTTTTAGTTTCTGGAATGGCAACCCTTACGGGACTTAGTATTGGCAAAAGTACTGGCAATAGCTTTTGTAACTCAAAATTTAGAAAAAGAGGCCAAAGCTGGTGGCCGCCTTTAAAGTAGTTTTGGATGGCAGTCGGCTGCGGAAAACCGTGCGTCTTCAATCAGAGGGAGTTGATTAATCATGTGCCACCATCAGGCCTGATGGTTTCTCCAGTGCCGCATTCTAAGTTTGCCTTGTGGCATGCATTTGTGCGATGGTTCTTACATGCCGTGTTCTCAACTGGCTTTCGCAAGGCCTCTACCTTCCCAGGA